GTTTGTACAGTATAAAAACCATTACGCCTATGGAATGTCCCCATAACGTGATGAATACACAACATGTGTGTGTGTGTGTGTGTGTGAGAGTGAGTGTGTGTGTGTGTTTCAGTGAGACACCAAGCTAACACGCTTGGGTTACAAGTGTTATGAACATTGCTTTGAAATGTTGAAATGTTTCAGACTTTGAAAAATCCAGGTTTCTTGTCTTGATTAAACAGGTTACAGAAATGTTTCTTACAATGCTCTACTTTCTCACCCACAATGTAACATTATGCATTTATTTTTAATATTCTAAGGGTGTTAAAATGTCCGGTTTTTGTGTCAAGTTTGGAACGTTATTTAAAGGTTACAAAAATGTTTCTTAGAATGTCCATCAAGTATAAATAATGTCATAAGAAAGTTCTGAGAATGTTGATTTAAGAATGTTTTCTCTCACCTAGTGCTGTCAAATCGATTAATCGCATCCGAAATAAGTTTTTGTTTACATGATGTCTGTGTGTTCACTGTGTATATTTATTATGTATATATAAATTCACACACATACAGTATATATTTAGAAAATATTTATGCTGTAGGCCTATGTATTTCATGTATATATTTATATTATATAAATATATTTAATGTAAAAAACATTTTTATTAAATATATACATGCATGTGTGTGTATTTACATAATAAATAAATATACACAGTGCACACACACATATATTATGTAAACAAAAACCTTTATTATGGATGTGATTAATCACGATAGCACTACTCTCAACATTATGAGAATGTACATCAAATATGAATAAAGCTCCATACAGCCTACTTCAAGAATGTTTTATTAAATAACTTAAAAAAAAATGTTTGTGAAGGTTGTGAGAACATTTCCCTGTAAGGGCAGATGAGGTTAGTTAGTGACAGTGATAGTATAAATTCTCTCTGAACTGGAAGAATGCTTCGCTTTTCTTTTATTAGCTGGTTTGAGCTACTGATCCATTGGTAGTAATCCACTAAAAATGATCATTTACTCGCTCTCATGTCATTCCAAACCCGTTTGACTTACTTTCTTTCATCTGTTGAAAACAAAAGATTATATTCATACAATGAAAGTCAGTGGGGGTTTGCTCTTCAAAATATCTGCTTTTGTGTTCCACAGAAGAAGGTAAGCCTTTAGAAATGTCATGAGGATGATTAAATGATGACAGAATGATTCTTTTTTGGATGAACTGTCCTTTTAAAGTATATCAGTAGTCCATCGTGCTCTATATCTCTATATCACTTCTGGTTTGTGGTAGTTCCACTCAAAAAGACTGAAACAAATCATTCCAGATCATAAGGTTGTGCTACAATAATCAGTCTGTGAGCTGTATGTTTTCCCTCAGACGTCAGGAGAATAACATAACACTTGGTATTTTAATGTGACATGATATAACAAGAATATCTCTGGCACAAGCTGTTTTCAGTCATTGTGTCTTTTTTCCGTTGTGTTCCGCTGTAGAAATATCAAAAAGACAACATATCCTGTACGTTTGTGGTTTAATGTGCAATATATCCCACTGTAAGATTCAGTTTTTCTCCTCAGATCTCTGCGTGAATGGATGAACCATCATCAGAGGCGTCGTGGCACACAGAACACACACACACGCACACACTCACTCACACTCACACACACACACACACACACGCACACACACACACACACACAAACCTGGGTCTCCAGGTTTTTCACACATGATGCTTTAAATGTAATCGTCTCCCTTTTCGCTTCTCATCTCTATTAGCAGTGTTTATCAGAATGTTTCTAAAGCAGGAAAATACAATATCTGTTACGTGTCAAAAAAACAGAAATCACTTTGAAATGTTATCGCTGATGTTAATGAGCATTTTTGCTGAAGGCAACATATACAGGCATTTATTACTACAGTGATATCTAACACGTCTCTAATATTGTTGCGGAGAAATAATCAAGTTTTAGGGGTTATTCATGGTATGCTGAAGTTAATTTGATGCTTTTACACTTTTGAAGGGTGAGTAGAATAGTAATAATGTAGAATGATGTCTCCTCATTGTGTTCAGTTTTGAAAACGCTTATTATTGCATTCATAAAGTGAATCTTTTGCTGATTGTTTGCAGTTTAACCGAGTTTAACGAGATGTGCAAATTCATCAGTAAACAGCACTGCTGAGCATTTTCTCCTTAAAACTGCAGAGAACCAAAGACCGTCTCAAGGCTAAATGATAACAATTACTTTGTGATTCTGATATGACAGAGAGGGATAGATTAAATGCATTGGCATTCTGATACATGGATCTGTAGACGATTTGTTCCTCTTCTTCAGAATCAGTTTCTGGTTCAAGCATGTATGGCTGAATGAATGCATTATTATTATTATTATTATTATTATCCATTATTACTGTTGTGTAGCGTTTGCTACTTCAGTTCACTGAGTGAAAGTGCAGCAGGAAGACAGAGCTGCTGTGATTGGCTGGAGGCGGGGGTTAATTTACATATTCATAGAACTGTGCATATTAAATGAGGTACAGGTGTACAGTTATATTAAAGCCATTTTAAAGTATGAAGAAATTATTTACACCAGAAAAAAAAAACATTTAAATATTTCATTTTGACTATTAAAAATAATTTGAACTGATTTCAGGGGGACTTATAAACGTTGCAAAAAAAAATTTTATTATTTTTTTGTTGTGATGAAGTAGAAGAACCATTTTTGGTTCCCCGAAGAAGCTTTCAGTGATCAGTTCTTAAAAGAACCATGTTTGTCTTCGTTTGAAGGACATTTGAATAATCTGAAGAACCATTTTCCACTATAAAGAACCTTTTGTACAACAGAAAGCTCCCACATATGTTAAATGATCCATCAATGCCAATAAAGAACCTTTAAAGTGTAGTTTTCTGTTTCACTGTAACATTATAATGTATGAATGCCTCTGAGAAGTTTCCATCTGTTTTATCCCGATTGGCTCTGTGTGGGCGGCGGGATCAGATTCTCATGACCTCTGGATGTTGATTGGTCCCGTGGGGACGCTGGTCTTTGACTGGTCTTACTGTAGAGAGAACAGCAGTAACTTGTGTTTTTAGCAGGTTATGATGATAAACTGAGCTCCAGAGAGCTGCCGTGTGTCTCTGCTGTGTTTGAGGGGTTTCACAGCTGTTGATTTGCTGTTGTGCTGGATCAATAGAACTAGTAACTCAGCCCTCCGACCTTGGCCTAGA